TATTTATAATACATTACTGTGCTCAGTTTTATTACTTTTATCATATGTTGTGTTTTAGTTTCTGCTCAAGAATTATATATAAAATTTTTAATATTTCACTGAATAATGTACAACTTGGATTATTCATCTTCAGACAATTGTTTGGTAACAGTGTCTAGCTTATTTTTGCATTTGTATAAACATGTATAAAGTCTTCAGTGTACGTATCAATAGTGAACAAATGTACAGTTTGTATGTTCTTCACATATAAACTGATGTGATTATAATATCTCTGTGTATCTTTTACTACGTTTTTATTTTTGCATCTAAATATGATTTGCATACAACTGTACGTATACTTCTCAGTGCATAATTTACAATTTTGATATTGTTTATCCATACATTGATTCTCCTTTTGTGTGTATGTTATCTTGATTTGTAACTTTTGAATATACTTTTATGTAATTTAACTTTTTTTTTTAAACCCTTTGCAAAATACCAGAATAAAATATTTGTATATCAGTTAGTATGTTTTAATTATAAAACAACAGAAGTGTGGGTCTTACAACATAATGATAGTAAGAAGGAAAAATGTAAAATCTTACGATAAGCCTAAAACTATCAAAGTGGTACAAGTAGTACTTACAAATCACACAAAGTTATCATTATAAATACTAAATCATATTTTTATTATGAACTAAATATAAAATTATGCTAAATTATTGAACTTAAAACTGTGAGTATAAATGCAAAAGAATAAAAAAAAAATCACAAACTCCTTCAGTTCAAAGCACTAAGCCTAATCCACATAAAGACCTTGTGCTCGCCACTCGATAGATCTTAACCTTAACATTTGTGGATCAAATTCTTTTCCTAAAATATATCTATTTTAAGTTAATTTTTCAATGATTAATATAAATAGATATACGATATAGCATGACTTAAGCTACTATAGAAAAATAATAAAAGTCAAATACATCCCATGCAGTTTTTTCCAGAAGCAAGTTATCTAAGGCTTATAGAAAAGTACTATTGACCAATACTAAATACAACCTCTACATAAAACAGCAGTTATTATAATAGTCACCACCCACATTCATATTGTAAAATCCAGAGAACAACGTTTCGACACGTGCTTTGCTTATCATCCTATGATTTGTCAAATGTGAAATACAGCGATTGAAATAATAGGGTACTGAAATTGATGCCTTTGACTAGGATTGGCTAAAAGTTTTACAACTGAGGTTTAGCATGCCCATATGCTGTTTTATAAAGAAAATAGACTAGAAAAAGGTTTAGATACCAATCGTAGATGGCATGACAAGTGCTGAAGTGGAAGGAAAAATGTATTTTGGGAATTTTTTATTAAATTTCTCTTTAAACTTCATTAAATAATAAAAAATTTTGTACAAATAATTGGATTTTATGCTACTATTTACAAAAATAAAATCTCAAATCCGATAAAAGATAGGTTCTCTGTAATGTTTTCAATTCACAAATGTGATTTTGCCCTCACGATAAGACAAAATGGCCATGGGAAGTAACGGGTTAACAGGAAATGTATCTACTTATAAAAATGTGCTTTACCATGTGTCTGGTCTTTTCATACAATGTAGTGAAAGATGTACCTTTTAAGCATCATCTACTTTATCAGTGAAGGACAGTTGCTGACAGTTGCATTTTCTGTTCAATGTACAAAGTTGTTGTAATATTTCCATGGACAAATGATATACTGTCTGTTAGAGAACAACAAAAGATTATATGTGAGTAGAATGAAAACAACGTGATAGATTTGTGGATCATGTGTTTATGCTAAAACTGCATAGCAACAGACTAAGTGAATAAATTTTAAAAGCAGAGAAGATGTAGTGTCTGCATACAACAATTTTTCTTTGTCTGTTTCAGACTTGTTCTCAAGTAGACAGTAGAGTTTCACTACTATAGGCTTATTATACCAACACTCACTACATTTATAAGGTTTCACCCCCCACCCCCATCACTAAAATCGTAATTGGTAGATAGTAATCAAACTATTCTAAATTTATCTAACTGGATTAATGCATTTTGGCTTTTATCACTCCTCCAGTTTCAAGAAATCAAGCATGATGGTACATGACATGACACAATGTGTCAAGTTTAGTGTTGATTATTCAAGAAATGTGGAAGCATACAAGGTTTGGATTGCTATGAATTTTGCACAAAGCTACATGAGGGCTATCTGCACTAGCCATCCCTAATTTAGCAGTGAAAGATAAGAGGGAAGGCAGCTAGTCATCACCACCCACCACCAACTCTTGGGCTACTTTTATTTACCAACGAATAGTAGGATTGATCATCACACTAAAACAACCCCATGGCTGAAAGGATGAGCATGTTTGGTGGGATAGGAATTCGAACCCACAACCCAGAGATTGCTATTCAAGCACCCTAACCACCTGGCCATGCCAGGCCCAGAAACGTAAAAGGAACAGATGGTTGAAATGTGCAAATAAACATACACAAACTCAGCTTTACATATTAGAAGACTGATTAAAAGTTTTCATTCTTATGTTAATGTATTAACCACTTATATTTTATCTAACCTATATAAAAGCCAGTATGATATAGGATGACATGAGAATGGTCATGAAGGGGGTGGGGGATGGACCCTCATCATCTATATAAATAAATGTGAATGTGTGTAACTGTTCCTTACAAGTTTCCACATTTCTTGGTCAATCATCACCAAACTTGACACAGTGATACAGGATGATATAATTTCATATCTAATTTTGTAAAAAACTCCCAAATTAACACAAGTAGACACAGTGATACAGGATGACATGAGCAGATGTTGGATTCTAGCTATTATGTGAGAGAAGGTATGGTATCATATCAGAAGTTAACATTTTTCAACACACAATATTTATTTTCAATAAATAATTATCTCCTCTCACAGTTCTTACCCATCCTCCCCACTTCCAGTGCATCTTTTTTTGCCTGTTCTACACTAAAGAGGGAGTTGGCTGCATTAGGAGGATTGTCGTATGCTTATATGCATGCAACAATGAAGCTAAAGCATGTGTAAACATGTAATGTTAGGTGGGAGCCTCGATTTGTAGCAAGCAAAAATTGTGCATATAGAGAGCAGCACAAATTGAAGAAAGCTATTATGTGAGGGGAGGTGAGTTTCTATTGGAAATACATTTTTGGTGTTGTAAAATGTTAACTTTGATCTTTGTTGTATAGCAGTATAATCAAATTGTGAATTAAGCTTGGAGCTACAGCACTTTGTTTACTGAGTTTGAAAATGCTGCTTAATCTGTGAATAGCAATTAATTGTAGGATTTTAAAAATTTACACCAAGTGAAATGCAACATTTAAATACAATTTATTTTTTTATTCAAAGAACAGAAAATACATAAATTGTATTTATGACATTTAAATTACATTAATTATTCATGTGTTTATTAATTGTGCAGGAAGTTAACCCATTGAGACTTTGGTCTCATTTGCAAAGGGGTCATGGTAAACAACTTGAGAAGACCTTAAAGATTAAATTTCAAGTGAGTTTAAAGTAATGTTCTTACCTTGTTATTTAGAAAATACAGTTTCTTAGCAAAGAGAACATTTGTCACTCCACTTTTCAGTTTATGTTTATATAAATCTATCAAAATTGTTTTTCATTTCTATGATGTCTACATGTTTCTCTGAGCATCTACATTTTGAAACTTCCTGCAGTTAGTTGGGATATGCAGCAGGAACTTCAAGCAGTAGGTGAGCTTTATTAAAGATTTATTATATATTGTATGTTACACTCATTCTCAGGATTTGGTCATTCACAAAAAAAAACAATGAAAGATAAAAAAAACCACTTTGTGATTTGACATATCAAAATCAAAGACTAAAATGAAATATTATTTTGGTGTTTTTGTGGATTACTTTGCTTAAATTGAAAAATATAAAAATATCAAATAAAGAAACAGAAAAACAATGAGATAGCTGTTTCAGTATTTATGTAAAATTATATAATCAAACTGCAAATTTTCATTTTAGAAGAGGATAATTAACAGACTATGCATACACTAAAAAAAGAGGGCGTAAATGAAGTAAGAATACTTGAACAATGGTTACCTGTTCCATTCCAAAAAAGTAATTTAAGACACTTAATTTGTTATGATGCAATGAGTTCATCCAGCACAACAGAGCACACACGTTTGCTATAAGTAGCTATGGGAATTTTTTCTGCTGGACGTCGCTGTTCCTTGTCATTTTACTGACAAGTTGTCCTTTCTATAAGAAATGTCAAAAAGGATTTATTAAATTCTAATCCAATTATTCAATATGGTACAATAGTCATGCATGCCCATATACCAAACAACAACAGATATACACTCAAATGCATTGCTCTCTCTTTATGCATTTTCTCTGTTCATGCCCTTATCTTCAAATATTTTTTTCAATCAGTCGACAGGGGAAATCCTCAATACTTAAAACAGAGGAAATTCTGTTTTTATTTGTCCTGAAATTCCCTCATAAACAATTTTATTTTTATTTATTATTATTATTATTTTTTATATATATATATAATCACTTTGACCAGTCGGCACATGTGAAGACTGGCAGATTGATGCTGATATCAATATGAAATTTCTTGGGTGAGTCTGTGTTATAATACTTAGACTATAGGCTATGGAGTACATAAAAAAAAGAAAAAAACAACTTCAAGTACTCTATTGATAGTACTATTAACAGCTTATAAATTTAACATTTAAGATAATTTTAACCAATTGATACAATTCTGCCATCAACAGCAATTTAACACTTTATTTTTTCAATAAAATAACTAATAGTTGAGAAGTATTTTGAAAGGCCATTGATCAGACTTTCCAGTCAGCAGGTACCACTTCCCCAAAAATACGTTGTCAAAAGGTATAATACTGTTAACACTGTCCTAGTATTTACCTTGCAAAGTGTAGAAATTAAGACTTTGATTTTGCAGTCAACCTCTGATTATGTGGTCATATGTAAATTATGCAAAAAATGCTTTAGTTGTATAATATTTTTAAACATGATCCTAATAATACCAGTTTCTTACTGTTTTTAATATTTAATCGAAATATTATGGCACATTAGCTTATTAAACCAAGATGACAGTTATACTGCACTCTGTAGTGTATTGTACAGTAATTGAGTTATGATTATGGTTTTCCTAGATTTAGAAAACAGTTACTGCACAGTATAAAAACCTTGAAACTTGATTTTTAATTGAAAATAAAGTGAGTATTCATAATATGCTTCTATAATGTGATTGAACTAAATCTTTTCTGTCATGTCTACATCTGTGTGTTAAGTGTAGTACTTTCTTGTCCAGTGGATTCCCATATTTATGAGAAAAGTTAGTATGGTTGTGATGGTTTATTTTTTATTAAAAGTTTCTAATTTAGTCCATGTACTGTAATGTTATTGATATTGGTTTGTGTGTTTCTCTCTTTCTTATATATATTCACTACTTACATCATTCAAAACCTCACAGAAAAATACTATGCAGAGAAATATATAATATAACCAGAACACCAGTAAAATTCACCTGCAGATACAAATAACAAAATACTGTAATATCAGGCTATTCTGTTTTTTTCCTCTCCGTTATTACTTTTTCTACCAGTTTTGTGAGTTCAGAGGTCACTCTTTGGATATAATTTTACTGAAAATCCAGAACAAAAACATACAAATACTGTATTTTGAGTAAACATGAATAACCTATTTTAAATACATATACTTTTCAAATTTACAAACATATAATATATTGTATTTATAAATTCCTTTTTAAATTAAAATCTTATTATATTTTCTCCTATTATTACAGAAATGCAGTTTATTTATTGTATGATTTCATACTTTCACTTTTTTATTTTCTGTAACTCTTTGTAACTGTTTTCACAATTTCTACTGACTTTACAAAACCAGTTATTTCTTCCCCCTTACTACTATCGGTTTAAAGTGGCACCAGACATCTTGACCTCTATTTATAATAACTGTATTTTTAATTTTCCTCCCCCTCTTTGGATTTTCTCTGTCTTTCTTCAATTGTTCTATGAACCACATTTCCTTTTGTTTCCATTTGGAAAGTATGTTGGCTAATTTTATTTATTTTTGAGCATTTTTAATGTACTTAATTTATAAATGTGGTGTATTATGTTTTTATACCTATGGGAAGTATATGTATTTAATTTAGATTATTTATGTTTGGTTGAAAAAATGGTATTTATTTTTGTTGTTGTAGATTCTCAGTAAAATTATATCCTGAAGAGTGTCACAAAACTCATAGCAGAAAGTAATAAAGGAGAGAAAGAATAGAATACTGTGATATTCCAGTGTTTTCTTATATATTCACTATTTACAGCATTCAAAACCTCACAGAAAAATACTATGCAGAGAAGATACTAAGATATGTTGGACGTCAGTATCTTGAGAAGCGCTGGCTAGAATATTTGGCACTTCCTAATGAGAAGCAGACTTTAGAAAAAGGTATGAAATTTAAGTTTTAGTTTGTGTGTGTGTGTGTATGTATCTATTAAAGCTGGTCAGTTAACTTATAATTTGAGTAACTGTTTTCTTTAGTGTTAAATACACAATAAATTTAATTTTTATATATTGTGTATGTGTTATGTTTTTAATACCTCACTTACTGCTTTCCTGAATTTATGTCCTAATGTAAAGTGTGACAGGAACTGGCATATCTGTTATTATGAAGCAAGCACTTGTGAAGCAGTATTCTTTATTGATCAATTTTCAATGGACAATAAGAATGGCAGTAAAATAACATAATAGTAAAATTTGCAGTTGTCATTGATTTTACTAAAGTAACAAAAAAACATGACACACACACACACATTTTCTTTCACATTGTACTTTATATCGAGTAGAATATTATGAAATTATACTTTGTGATTTTATTATACATAAATAGGTTGTTGTTGTAATATAGCCTTCATAAAGACTAAGAAAAAAAATTTTTGTTTTGCAGTAATTTGACTGATCCTGGAAAAAAAGACCCTAACCCTAAATGTTTGACACTATTTCTTTTGAAAATGTTCATAGAGCATATCTGTATGCTTAAGAGATCAGTGATATTTTTACTCTGTTATTTATATGAGCATGTTTCATAATGAACTACTCCAAAGAATGCAACTTTGATCATAACTAACTTGAAATTATATCAAACAAAACGTAGACATAGTAACAACTTTATTTAAGTTAAAAATCTTCATTGAAAACTTAAGAAAACTTTTACAATATACATTATTATTTGCAACATTTTGTTGAGTATGGATCATGTTTACTTTAGAACTTTATGCCAGCTATAGTAAAATTTACAACCAATATTGTTCTTAACTTTCCAACATTTATATATTACTCCATCAGTATGGGATAATACATACTGTCCAAAAGAAGTTGCATCATAATTACATTGTCAGTGACTAAGTATGAAATCAAAAACTTTCAAAAGAAAAGTAAATTTTTTATCTCACAGTGAAGCATTTTCTGGCACATGGATTTCCCTCAGAGTAGTTGGTGAGGGCTCGTTATCTGGAGACTTGGAGAATATTGAGTTACAGAGTATGCAATGTTTTTTTCTTTGAACTGCAACTGAGTTTGTCACGAAGAAAGAGATGGAACACAAATACCATCCTTTTTTTTACACAAACAGTTAAAAACAAACACAATACCAAACAAAGGGTAAGTTTATTGTGGACACGTTGAACTGGTAAGAGAAGAGTGAGCAAACCTCTAATAGTTTCTGTTACCAGTCGAGTGTGCTCCATCTTGCAAGCTACATTAAATGTACATCTAGAATATAAAATAAAACCCAAAGTTGGTTTGTAATAATTTAATCAAAATACTTAAACTGTACATTAAGAAAAAATTAAACTCTAACCCCCTTGAAAGTTAAGTTTGCAACAATCTACAGTTAATCTGAAAGTGAAAGTTAACAACTAAAAATTCGAAGTTAAAAACTAAGCTTTTGATCCAACAAAATTTACCACTACAGATGGCAAACTTGGCTTTATGTACTAAAACAGAATAACACTAACAAAGCTATGCTTGCACACTTGACCCTTGTCCATCACGATCAAAATGCAAGAACTTTGCAGACCCTGAGTTATCAGATTTGCTGATAGAAAAAATAACCATGTATTTTGTCATAAGCTATCCTTTCAGTGAGAAAACATGTCTAATTTGCAGTTAGTGAAATCCGATCTCGTGTAATGGAGAAAGGGAAAGTTAAATGGCTTATTTGAGTGACTCTTTGCATCCAAACTGAATTGAAATTAAAAAAACGAAATGTTGTAAAACTTTCATATTAACTTAGGAGGGGACCACAACAGTTTAATACAGATAATTAAAATTAATTCAGTAAAAAATTAAAATTTTAGGAAACTTGAAAATGCTAGATAGGAATAAAATAAGTTGATACAGAGCTTATACATAACTATGCTGTTTTTCATTGAAAATTAAATTAAATAAAAGTAAATTAAGATCTTCTTGTAGGTTTACATAGATTTGTTCATTATTTTCACACAGATCCTTGTTACATTGGTGTACCTTGTTGTTTGGTTTTTGTGGTTAGGTGCAATTCTTTTTGCTCAGTGGTGTAATCCAACAACAAACATTCAGGAAGACGTCACATCTCAGTTGGATCACCTTTCTCAACTTGTAAGAGAAGAACTTCAGCAAAGTGACTGCAACCATCCATTGCTACAAATAAATCAAGAGGAAATAGGTAAAAACATACATAATATGTTCAACACATGTTGTTATACGTGTGCAAATTTTAATACTCTTGTGATAGTACAGTTATTAGGAAATTAAAGAACTATTTACATACAAACACTTAATTTCCTTAGCTTTGTGATACAACTATCCTACTTAAATAATTGAGTGTAAGAAAATTCAAATGAAGGATTTTTCCAGGATAAATCATATTTCACCTTATTTTCTCGTATGTTCATGGATCAGGTGCGGCATATTGGATAGTGTGCTAACTAACCAAGTCTATATTTCTGGGTCTACAGATAGTGGGGATTGTGTTGTCAGTGCTTATGATACTTATGAATATATTTTTCTAAATGAAGGAAAAAAATCTTTCATTCTTCAGCATGCATCATTTATTTGTCTATTAAAACTTGTTTAATTAGTAAAGTCATTGCAATATGGTTAATGAATATAATACATTAACAAGATTTAATATTTTTCTGTATTTTTGTGTGACTTAAGTTTAATCCTGTTCAAGATTAATGTATATATAATTATTACTTGTATTGGTCTCTAAGAAATATTTTGTAGAACTGAAAATTATAACTCGGAATGTAATGTTGGTGTATGTACATTATAAAAACTGGTAAGTTACTTTTTAAACCTTTCCAACCTGTTGACTGTATATTGCCATATTTTGTTTCTGTACATTTACATCAATGAAATTCAAAAACTCTTAAACCTCACCATACCTGAAACAGGCACTTTAAAAATAAAACACTATAACCATCGAGCATTTCTGAACCTAAATTTAATGTTTTTGGTGTATTTACAATGTATAACAAAATGAAAAAAAATTCTATATTAAGAGTAAAGAAAATAAAAGCTTTTGGAACAGTGAAAGGTAAAATTTTTATTATAGATTACAGCCAACTGGTTTTGATAACAAAGTTACCATCATCAGAGCTTTGAACCCTAATATTTAATTGTACTATACATAGAATTTCATGAACAAACTCATTCTTGGTATATAAAGTGAAACTACAAGGAACACCAAACACCTCATCCATAACAAAAATAATACAACAATCAATTAACCAGAGAAAGAAGTGACTTGCAGATATTGCATCTGAAAAAAGGTTGCTACAAATCGTTTTTTAAAATAATCTAGTTTATTTTATTTATTTTTTGGTGAGACCTCATCACTCTCTTCACAGTGTGGTCTCCTTGGCTTTTGGAAGAAGAAAATGTCTTGTGATTTTTCAGCAGTAATTACCCCTCTCACCACAGGCATCCTTTATTGTTTGTTCATGTTACACCAATTAGTATAGCATAAAGTTGTAGCTAATAATCCATATCTTAATATTGTATAAGTTTTAAGCTTTTAATTATATAAGGCAATATTACAAAAGATCCTGAATTTATTTACCACCCCTTCAAGAAGTATGAAATTTAATGTTACTTATTATAATATTGTCATCACTCATATAAAGCATAATTTTCATTGCCTTCAATTTTGTTTGGTTACAGAACCAACAAATAGAAAATCAGACCCCTTTTGCCACACCCACCTGTCACATCCTCTCTTTCAGGACTTATCAATATTTCTCTCTTTATGTTTAATACTATATATAGGTTTTCATGATGCACTATATTACATTGTTGTGTGTATGGAAAAATGTTAATTTCTCTTTCAGTAAAAGTTTTGTTCCCATGGGGAACTCATCAACGAGCTTGGATGAATTTGTAAGGGCTCTTGTAGCAGTTAAAAAGCCAGAAAAATTGTGATAATTATGGGACACTGCCTGATTTTTGCATGTTGTTATTCTATGTTCTTTGGTGCATTATTGAATAAAATAAAAAATATTTAGTGCAATACTACCATTAGTACAATAATAATAATAATAAAAAAATTAGGGTTAAGTTTCATTGACTAGACAGCAAAAAAAAGGCCCAAGTATGTACTTCATTTCTTCATTTCTTGTTTTTCATGTGCATTCTTTATTATTATAAAAGTAACTAAAATGTTAAAATAAGTAACTTTTTAGGTTAGATTAGGTAAAATAATAGATATAATAAAAAATATTCACGTGGCATGCATGTGAGCAGCTTGGAGTAGCTTGTGGATAATGTAATGTGAGCCACATGTTCTCCAAGTGACTTACAGCATTTGATATTTTTGAGATGAAGAAAAATATTTTTAATCTTAACATGAAAATAATTTTGCACTCAGACTGGTCAAAAAAAGACTATGTTCATTGGATAAGTGGCATTCATATGTTGACCAGCGATGTTTGCATTCATTGTACTGGACACATGTATGTATGCTACCTCATTTTACACATTAAACTTGGGTACCAGTTGATTGAAACCAATATAGTAATACCTATATGAGCAGTACTAACAAAAAAGTCATTACCTAACTCAAGAATTAACTCCCTCAACATGGGCTTAATCAATTTGACCAACCACGTGACCTCTTTGTACTCGTTTAAAGTCTTTATAGATCTGATACTACTAACTTTTAATATAGTATGTATATCTTCACAAAAGTTTGCAGTCTTTCAGTAAACATTACAAGTCTTTCACATACAAAAAGTCATATTTTTAGTGAAGTACTTTAAATAAACTAAAAAAATATTTGTCTGTGAATGTATTGAGTATTTGTTTTGAATAGTCTGTGTGCAAAATGATTTTCATGTTAAGATTAAAAATACTTAAAACGTGTATACTATTAAAATGTAGATTATTAGCTATAATTTTATGCTATACTAATTAGTATAACATGAATGAACAAAAAGTAGTTGAATAAAATTCACTAATAAAAGTCACCGAAACCTCGTAACGTGCAATCAATGATGCCCAGGCTGAGAGGGTTAGGTATTTATATACTGCAACTCAATGTACGTTAGTGTCATATGTTTACATCATGAACCAATGAAAAATAAACAACTTGTAAGTATCATTTGACTGCTGAGTTACATCACATACTGTATTTTACATGTAGAGAAGATTATTGCACAAAATGCAAGTAGAAGACGTGTATATTTTTATTAGTAGAAGTTGTTTGTGTAAGTTAGTAAGTGTATAAAGATATGATAATACATGTGCCAACAGACAACTGCATCTGAAGGAAGAAATAATGCTAAATTAATTCTTCACCTAATGTACTTAATTCTGAAATACACTTCTGTGATATTTTAAGTAAAGCGATTTTCCCATAAAGTAATCAGGTAGGTTATGCAAAATTAAATTGTATTACCTGATTTTGACTTAATTTTTCAGTAAAGAAAAAGATTGAATACAAAAACAACCAAATGAAAATCTTTATATATTTTTTAAACACAATCAAGAGACAAAACATGTATTTAATGTGCATTTAGGAAGTTTGAGAGTTCTCAGTGAATAAGTGATTCTGTGTTAAGAAGTACTTTTAAAGACTGATAAAATATAAACAATAATTTTCTTTTCATAGTGTGTGCACTACAATCATTACTGTTGGACATTCCCATAGAAAAATAAGGGGTTGTGTCCTCAAGGTATTGCATTACCCACCAGTGGAAAAGATTGCTGTTTAATTCTGCATAGTGTGCTAAACTTTACCAAAATCTTTCTAATGAGCATGCACATGTTATACCATAGGTAAATGACCCACAACAATAGGTAACTAGGAAAAAGAAATATATTAGCTATCATATAGGAGTTGAGCTTAAACTCACAGCTACACCCTCAAGTCCTTGATAAATACACCCATTAATAAGATTCTTTCATTGCATATTCCAATAACATTTTAAAAACTTTTTTTTAGTAAGTTTACTTTATCTATATATCTGAACACCAACTTGCAACAAATGTCTATAGTTTCATCTAATGGTATATTAATAAATAAAGATTACATGATACACATCATGGAAATTTATCTATCTACTTTCTTTTACAAATTTTAAACTATTATGAGCAGTACATATGTTTCTATTTTACATGCTTGTTCAAAAAAAAAGTTACATAGGAAGGAACTTAGCTAAAAGTTGATTGATCCAATACTAGAAATAATTGGTCTAACTGGGCATCCTCCAATAAAAACCAATAGGTCTAAAGATCAACCTTTTCATTAACAAAACATTGTTTTGACATTTTAACAAATAAAATGGTAATTTTAGTTTGTTACTTGTAGTAGGATTCAATTCAATTCTTTAAATATCTATATTTTGTTTTATTTTTTTATTAAGCATATTGTTTACCCCTTGATATAATAATCTACATTATTTTGGATCACATTTAGGCTTAATAATGACAATATTCCATTATTCAAGTCAATGAGAGCTTTATGTTCTTTACCTTTTACAATTGAATTCTTGATATGAAGAAAGCACTGTCCTGGAAAGGTGTTTAAATGTCTCATATTTTCTGAAATAAATATACATATTAGTTGGTGTAAACATTATTCAAAGCCATACAAGTAATGTTCTCTTTCAATCTTTTTAGGAGGGAGAGCAAATTGTAAATTCTTCCTTAAAGCCCCATTTTCCATCTCTGTAAACTGGTAATCTGAAGTATAACATTATTAATGTTATCTAAAAAAGTATTCCCTCATTGAACTTCCCCTTGGTGATTCATCTTCTACAGCTTTCTAAATTTACATTGAGCCAACAAATTGTTGTTGCTACTACAATCAGTTTTATACCTTAGCTGAAACACAAAAAGTTAACATTATTCTTCAGACCTTTCAACAGTTCTGCAAGTTGTTTATGGAGCTGTTTGCATAGCACCATTAAACATTATATGTGAGCCTTTGTCTATTGTGAATAACCATGAATTATGAAAAAAAAGCTGATTTCATAACCAAAAAAAAGCAAAAAAAACATTTTTAATATTATATTAGTTTACTATGTATACCCTAAGTAGGACCATGACATAAATGTCAAGGAAACTTTTTAAAACTGTGTAAGAATACAACAACCATGAAATACAACATGCACAGCAAGTTCAACAAAATATTAACTGTGCAAAATAAAATTGATATGACATTTTGAATGATGATGTAAAACTATTTAGTACATACTCAAAAAGTGTCAATTTTATAACGTTTTGGTTGAAATGAAAAAGTAAGGTTGAAATGACAGATTTATGATTAAGAAAAAATCATACATGAAACACATTTACTTCCATATGAGGTTTTTCCTTGCAAAAGAAAAAAAAATATCATTTTAAAGACCCCTTTCTTTTCATTTTTATGTTTTTCATCTCTGCATAAATTGTTTTGGTCATTTTTAGGTGTACAATTAAAATATTTTGATTATACTAAAGAGACTTTGAAATGTCTAGGTTCATTTATAACTGTTAATATTTATGGGGATATATTTTCGAACATTGGAAATTTTTCTTCATAAGATGTCGACTTTGTTATCCATAAAAATGTATCTTAGTAGAACACTTTTTTGCCAAAAATTTAAAATATAGTTTATACATTTTATTATTACAACTTAAGTCTATTCACCATCCTGCTTTTTCAAATGTATTAACATATTTCTTATTAAACCTGTAAATATAATTATAGTAAGTTGATAAAATGAAATACTTCTACACTGTGTTTGAAATAAGTATTGAATTACAAATGACTTGAGTATTTGAGTACATTCAAAATTGACTATTTTGCATTCCATTAAGGAACATGTTTTTGTTGAAGACAATTTATAAATGAAGTACCTAAATTCTTACAAATTATGTAGCTGAAATTTAATTGCTGAAAATAAACCAATTTTATTTCTATAGATGGTTTTTATCATATTCCATAGACATTGAAGCAACAGAGTCACTGTGGCTGCCTAGAGATTGCCGTGCCATTCTTACTTCCCTGAATGTAGTCCTTTTTCATCATCTCAAGTTTCAACAAACTAGGGCTGATCAAATTGTGAAAAGTTACTATATTCATGAGGTATGTAATTAACATATCTAATATTGACTTAATGTTGATGTTTATCATCAAAATTGTACTTTATTTTTTATGTAGATATAACCATGTGTTTACTGTTAAAGTAACGCAACAATGAATTACTTTAAGCTTTTAATTAAATTATAAATTGAAGATGATGTTAGATACTAGAAAATTAAAGAACTATTCACATACAAACATTTAATTTCCTTAGCTTTGTGATACCACTATCCTACTTAAACAGTTGAGTGTAAGAAAATTCAAATTAAGGATTTTTTCCAAGTTAAATCATATTTCACCTTATTTCCTCGTATGTTCATGGACCAGGCATGGCATATTGGATAGTGTGCTAACTAACCAAGTCCATATTTCTGGTTCTATATTTGAGCATACTTTGTTACAGTTTTGCTATTGAATTATGGAGCTGGGAAATTCACTTAATTGGTTATGTATTAGCATCGGTTTCATTGAGTAGGGTGACAAAAATACTCAGCTAATCAAAATTAGTTTTTCCTATTACTGAAGAAATTAAGTCATAAAACTAAAATGACAGTTTTGATATACAAACTCTGTATACCTATATTCCTAGAGAAAAAGAATTCAAGTAAGTTATCACTAATTACCATAAATGAAGAATTACCACAACTTCTTCAAATTGAGTGATGTTTTTGATCTAGCAACAAACTTTTGCTTTTAATTTAACAATATAAGTTACTGCCAAATTGATGGATTCTGTATGAGTGGAACTTTATCTAGTTCATTAGCCAATGTCTTCTTAACTCAACTAAAGGAAGGCCTTCAGTACAGCCATATATTTTTCTGTACACTGGATGGAGGTATATTGATGATGTTCTCTGTAGTTCTTAACTCTGATCATGAAAAACAATGTTTTGTAAGCTGTATCAACAATTTTGATGACAAAAAATTCACTTTGAGACAATAAAGTTTGAAGATGGCTTGAATGGGCAATGAAGAAAACTTTATATTACAAGTTTAACATAGTAACAAACGTACAAAGTTTAGACAAGATTTCATCAACATCAGATAAGAAATTATCCAAAGCAGAAGGATAATTAAAGAAATAATATAAGAAATTAAATGTGACATACATGAACAATCTTATGTAGGTGAAACTGGAAGAGAATGGGACGAAGAACACTAGAAAGGACTGTCATGTGTGATTTTGAATATTTAAAAGAAACCAAACTTTATATCTGAAAATAATCTGCTTATGAAAAAACCTTGTCGAAACATTGTACATTTGTTACTCTGTTAAACTTGTAATGAATTTTCTTATTCATTAACCATTCAAATCATCTTCAAAGTTTGCTGTATCAATAGAATTCACTCCTTCATCCACTTCACCATTGAAAATTTCTCCATAAATTTTTTAATACTTGCATCATTAGGAAATCAACTGAATTTGACACATGTTTATTTAAAACCAATACACTTGGTATAGTACATAACCTGGAAATATGCACACCACCTACAACAAACGTGGAACCTTAAAATGCTAAATCTGAATTGTACTTGACATGTGTAACCCATAATTTAAACAGTGAATTAAGAAGAATATCAGAGATTTTCATTTATAAAAATAGTTACCTCAAAGGAAAAGCTAAATAAAAGTCCATGAAACCCAAACAAAGAAACCATAAAGCATTTAATCCAACAAAAAACCACAAAACCTTATCATAACCACTATCACTCTTGTTGAAGATGTCAGTGATAACCTTGGTGGAATATGAAAACACCTCATCAAAAAAAAAGGACAGTGTTAACATCATCTTGTTAATTGTACAAAAACAAGAACACTGTTGTAAGAAATTGTCTGAAAAAAAAGGATACTAAAGAGTCATAAATGATATGCAAAAAAATGTGAACTATTTTATTTAGATAAAACTAGAAGAGACCTGAATGCAAGGATTAAAGAACATTTGAATAGACTGTCGTACATTTTTGATATTTAAAAGAAACCAAGCACTCCATAGCTGAAAACAGCATTAAAATTCTGTGAAGTGGATATAAAACAGAAGAAAATTTGCATTCCAAAACATACCATCCGCTGACACTTAGCACTATTGCTCAGAAGCCAGGATTTTTATCTTTGGCCATCTAAGCATTGGTCTGATTTTTTTCTTGCTTGCTCCATTCTTTTATTCCCTACTCACTTGCCCTTGGTGATATACTCTCCACCTACGTCGATGAACCCTCTATCCAGGTACTGTATATAAGTACCTCATTCAGATGAGCGTTCAGACACAGGTTTCTCTACTGCAATAATTAGTGTACTTTGTTGCAATTTTGGCATTGCCTAGTGGCTTTCTGTATATATTATATTTAATAATTATTATTAAAAAAAAAATTGTGACATGCCATTTTCAGGCATGAATTCAATGGGTTACTGTTCCAGCATGGAGGCTAATCAGCCCTCTTCTATTCCACCCCTGTTATCTAGCATCTTTTAAAGGTCAGGGTGGGGGTCACCCTTAGTTGAGGCTGTGTGATCTTATTTGTTGTGAGATGGAAACATATATTCGGTCTTGGGGCATCTCTTCAGGGGGTTCTGAGGCTGCTTTTGTCAATTATTCAGGACAGTCTGGAGAGAATTTGGACTCTCTCTCTTTTTTTTTTCCTTTGTTTAGCAGGTGGGCTTCTCATGAGGCCAATTTGGATCAGCCACCTCCTGCTACATTTTTCCAGTTAGTCAGTCGGGTTTGTGAGGTTTAGGGGCTTTCTCCAGGTACCTTTGAATCTCAGATTAGATCCTCTCTTGGATATGTGGGGTTCCAGACATTTCTCGGATTCGTTTTTTTTTATATCCCCCCACACAAAAAAATATTGTCAGAAGACTATCAGTGGTCCCCACATCAATTTGAGCATGACTTGGGTCTTTTGTTGACTTCTATCATGGTAAAATTGTCAGCTTCTGCTCTTTCTTTGGTTTCCTGGCTTGTAGGTTGTTGGGGTTTATTGGGTAGAGAAACTTTGTTGGATGGAGTTTGTCTACCTGCTGTAGCCCTCCGGGAGTTACTTGAGGCTCCTTTTCTTTGTCCCTTGATGGTTTGAAATTATGAATTGATGTCACCCCTTTACTTTTTCCTTGTTGTTGTTGGCCTCTAGAATTTATTTGGCTCCTGCTGGAAATCATGGTGTGACTGCTCGTTGTGTGTTCCAAACCCCAGCTTCTGTTCCTCACTCTGTGGATACTCAGAATAGATTCCATCCTTAGTTTCAAGGCTCCTCCTCTTTGGTAGACCATCATCAATGGCATCAGTGACTACCCTAGGTGGGTGGGTCTGTGGGATACCTGAAATTCCATCACCCCAGATCCATGGGTACTTCAGGTTTTGGCATTGGGGGTTGGTCATTCCGTTAACTTCTCCACCTCCATTATCCTCCCAACCTGTGGTATTTCCACCCCCAACAGATCAGTGGAGTGTGGATCTTCATTCTAAGGCTATCAGAGAGTTATTGTTCAAGACGGTGGTAGTGGGAGTCAATCCCGTTCTTTCGGGATTTTATTCCTGTTTATCTATTGTGCCCAAGAAGACAGGAGATTGGTGGCTGATTGTCAATCTTTCTCATCTCAACAAATTCTTAGATCCTCCCAATCTCCCTTTCTCACAATGGAGTCCCTTCACCAGGTCCTTGGATGACAAAGTTTGATGTTGCTTATGCATTTCTCCACATTCTTATTGCAAAGTCATCCTGCCACTAGCTACATTTCATACACAGGGGTCAGGTTCTGCAGTTCAGAGATCTACATTTTGATCTAGCATGTGCAACCTATGTCTTTTTGCAGAGTCATAAGTTTTTCTTGTCACCTCCACACTTTGGGCCTGTACACACACTATTATCTGGACAACTGGTTACTTCTGGCACAATCTTGTCAGTTGGCAGAAAAACATGCCCAGATTCTCCTTTCAGAAGCCACTAAGGCTGGCTTTCTTGCTAACTTAAAATATTGTCCATATGAATGTCTTTTTCAAAATATTTTAAGCCTGGCTTAGCCAACTCCCATCCAATTCCAGGCTGCAGAATAGATAGTCAGACTCTTATGTGAATGGATCTATCTCTTTTGTGGATGTGGGCATCCCTCATATCTCTGATTTCTTTGGGATGAGCACACATGCAGTCCTTTCAGTGGTCATTGTGTGACCAATGGATTGGGAATTCTGATCAGGAGTATTATCGTAGTTCTTGAGTGGTCATTGGATTGGGTCAACACTACAATCAGTATTTCTATACCACTCTCTCATTCTGAGTTTCGTCTATTCACAGATGTCTCACTTCAGGGATGGGGTGCATATATCAAAGATCAGGAATTCCAGGGTCTATGGATGGAAGACAAATCTTCCTTCCACATCAGTAATTTAGAATGTTGTGCTATCCAACTGGCAATGGATCAAGATCTATTGCAGGGGAAAATTTCATGATTCATTCCATAAATTCCATAGTGGTTTCTTAAATTTCCCATCATGGGGGTATGTGTTCTTTGGACCTTTGTTTTCAAACTTTGGATTTTTCTCTACTAGGCTCACTCCCATTATATCAGCCTCCTGGCTTGCCATGTTTCAGGGGTGATGAATTTCATAGCAGATCATCTCTCTCAGCTCAATCCAATTCTCTCGATCAAATGGATGATCTTTTGTGAGGTTTTCTAATGGATTTGCTCTCAGTTCAGGACTCTAATGATCAATGCATTTGCCACTCATTGAAACTCTCAATTATAGTCATTTTTGGTCCCTGGTACCTCATCCTTGGACTTTGGAGATGGATGCATTCAGTCAAGATTGAATGGGATTGCACCTCTATGCCTTTCCCCTAATTTGTCTGTTTCCCAGAGTTCTGGCTATGATTTGATCCTCTACTTAAGAGCTGTTGGTAACCCCAGATTGGCTGGCTCAACCATGGTTTCCTTTTCTACAGTATCTTCAAGAGGGTCCACCTCTTCCTCTTTGGCTATCTCTGTTAAAGCAACCTCGATTCAACATTCTACACCCAAACTTTCTGAAGCTCAAACTTCATGTATGGAAGTTATGCAGTCCTTTGCATGGAATTGGGGTTTAACTTATAAAATTGTCTTGTATATGTCTCAATCTATCTGTAGACCCACAATGGCCATTTGTCAATGAAAATGGCACACTTATAGCCAGTGGTGTCTCACAAGTAAATTTAACCCACTTCATCCAAACGTGCCCAACATATCTCATTTTTTGACTCTTGGTCTAGCTTTATCTACTGTTGCTTTATATAAGGCAGCTTTATTGACTACTTTTCATTATTCTAAACATCGGAAAGATTTTGACTCTCCAGTGCTATCGGGCCTTCTTCCATCCTTTAATTCTTCTTCCCAAACAACCTTTTCAATTACTCAACTGGGATATTAGGGTGGTATTACATTCTTTGTCTTGACATCCATTTGAGCCTTTAGTCTCAAGTACCATCACCTTTCCCTTAGTGGGTATTTTTTGTTACTGCTGGCATGTGGATGTCATAGGTCAGAGTTGTTTTCACTACACATGCATAGGACTCTTTATCCATTTTGCTCCTGCTATACCCTGATAGGTCCTTTCTTTCTAAGACTGACAGCCAGGGAAGGGGATAAATCCTTCTCACCAGTTCTTTTGCCAGCTATATCTCACCTCTACGACCAATCGGACACTGATTGTTTATTGTGTCCTGTCAGAGCCCTGAGTTATGTGACTCGTTCTAAGTCCTTTCGAGATGATGGAACTCGATTCTTTATTCATTGGGATCCTTCAGTTTCCCAAGATTTATCCCCAATTACTTTGACAAGGTGGCTTCACAAGTATCCATATTGCTTATTCTGGACTTTCTTTACAGGCGAGGAAACTTTTGAGAGTCTCATCTCATCAGCTTCATCACATTCCTATGTCTTTCACTGCCTGTTTGAATTACCCACAAAGGGTAATTACATTAGTGTGTCTTTGGCTTAGGAATTGTCTAATCAGAACATGAGACTATATAGTGCAGTGAATGTGACCTGCCGTGTCATGCCAGCAGCTTTGAAACCTGCTGTCTTACCTCTCATAAAAAAAAGGTGATTCTGTATTCATGAGGAAAGGGAAACTATCCATGTGTAATTGTTTTATTATATCATTATCTGTATTTACAAATTGCTTCCAAAACACTGGCTTAAAGATCACATAATTTGTCTATTCAGAGGGGTACTGAACAATAAATACAATGTGGCAAAAGCTAAATAATAACTTTTAACTGTTTTTTTTTATGAAATTTGGTGATTTATGTGTGTCAACTTGGAAGGAAAAAGAATAAACTACAAATTTCTCAAATATGGTGGCCATATTAGAAGTGTAATGTCATCAGATATGCAAATTAGGTCAATTTTTTTATATAATTTGAGTCTTCATGTTGTTCTGAATAGTTGTTTCCACATGTGTCTTGGGCTATTTCAAATGGTTTTAGAGGTATATTTGATCTAATTAACTAAAAAAAAGAAAAAGTACATGCCCAAAGGGTTAAACACAGCCTAGAACTATAAGATGATTACTTAGTGATCTCTCAGCATACATATGTGTTTTTACAGTTTTATCCAACTTGTACTGTAAAGTGTAAACTTGTTAATCATTTTAATGCGTTCTTTCTAACTTTTGTCCATATAAACAACTCAGTTAAAAGTGTATGATGTTTTTATATCTATAAAGTTATAGAGTTGTTCTTCAAGCTAGGATGAAATTAGAAAAAAATTATCATGTTCTTAATATTTCTTATAAAAATTCAGTTTCCACCTTTGAATAAATTTGATTTTTGCAGAGAGGTAATCTAGTATGATCATAAGTTTTCTTGCCAAATAGTAAATAATGTACTGGATGTTTTTCTAGGACTACTCATTAGAGTCTGTTTGTTTTCACTAAATTATATATTATCCATTATATATTGTCACAAGAATATTTACTGATTTTATCAGAGCCCCCAAGTGGCACAGCTGTATGTATACAGACTTACAACACTAGAAACTAGGTTTCGATACTTGTGGTGGGTAGAGCACAGATAGCCCATTGTGTAGCTTTATGCTTAATTTCAAACAAAGAAGAAAATGATTTTATCAAATGAAATATGAGGACAAGTATATTAATTCTCCATAACAGGGTTATATTCATTTGCATTAACGATAATGATTTTAATGAATAATTAGTTTATTTAGTAATAAATAACCCAGTTTATTTAACAATTCTGTGCTTTTTCTTAACCCTACTGATTCATATTCATCATGCTACATCCCTTACTACACTGGGGAAATTTTTTTAAAGAGTGTGTATTAGGATTATGGACAATAAAACCTTAAAATGTTTAGTATTTTTGTGATTTATAATTAATGATAACAAGGTTTGTTTATTTTCATCAATAAAAATTCAGTAGTTTTAGTATTCTTGTGAAAATTTGTAGAGAAATGAAAGGAATGGTATTAATAATATTTTCAGCTGATTACTTGTTTCATGTTATGTGTGTTATATTTTACATACGATAATATGACATATTTACACGTACAGCAGTTTAGGGGCTAAAAAATAACTTAATCCTAAACTGTTGTACTTGAAGATGTATATCATATTAAACAGAGGGTATTTGAAAATGTTTTTAAAAAAAGCCAAATATATTTAAAATATGATTATTAGTCTCATTAGAGTAATCCATTAATTGAATGTATTTGAATAATGAGCCCATAGATTAATCAATTAAACTCCATAAACTGCCCAGCTCTTTGTGATAAATCTATCAATAGTTATATTGTTTATGTAAATGTTGTATATATATTGACAGAGGAATTCATATAAAATGTAGTATTGTACATGTTGTGGAAAAGTTCAGTTTCCTTTCTTTCAAAAGCCAATAAAATATTCAGCATACAAGATCTAATGGTGTAATTGACAGAACATCTATAAAACAAGTAGAAACAAAGATTTGAGTTCCTCTTCATCTTGGTTGTAACTTCATCATGAATAATTATAAAGTTAGTTAAGGTAATGTGTAATTCACAACTTTTATAAGCAGTGGGTATATTCATTTTATGATTTTGTTTTACATTCTTAATTTGTGTACCCTATGATAAACAACTAATAAGGTTTCATATTCACAAACTATTTAACATAATGACAGCATTATTTTGTTTTGGGAAAATTCATTAGTTATATATCTCATGTTTTTAATCAAGGTGCTGAAGACACGCACAGGAAACTTGATTTCACTTGGAATTCTCTATATTATACTTGCCAAACGACTTGGGGTTTCTTGCTTTCCAGTGTTTTCACCACAGCATTTTCTTTTGAAGTGGTTACAAAACCCAGAGTAAGTAACATGATTTTAGAAAACTGAAATTCTCTCAAACTGTTTGTCATTTAATGTTACATGTGTACATTTATGGTTTCTAGTTAATGTAAGTTATGTATCTCTCAAATGAAGTAGAATCATCTTTAGTTCAACACATTTTCCTTCAAGAATTATTTTAAAAACAGGTTTCTACCTGAATATTATATGCTCTGTGTGTTACCATCATTCAGAGGACAACTCTGAATGTCATTTTGTCAAAATGATGTGGATGACATTATTTTGACAAATCTTAATTCTGTACCAAAGGTAATTCATCAAGACATTGCCATTGATAATGAGAAACTGTGTGTATGAAATATGGAGAAAACCATTTGTTTAAAAATTACTAAAGGTACTAACAATGTTAACGTCTAACTAATTGATGAATCCAGAGAATAAATGTCTTAAAATCCTTAAGATAATACTAACTAGAGTTTAATTTCACAAATATTTTTCTTTTTGCAGATAGAACTTGCTTATGTGTAAAATCTTCCTTTATACTGTTTTGACAAAGTTGTTAGTTATAAAAACAAAAGTTTCATATTGTACATTTTTTATTGAAAGCACTACTCAACTTCAATTTCATAACTTCTGAAAACCCTCTGTCCTACTATTGGATTTTTTTTTGCTGTTGTAAACTTTACTTTCCAAAATGTACTTACCTCTGCTGACACTTATAGCTATTACACGACTTTAAGGGTTTCTTCTTTGCCCATCTAAGCATTGGTCGGTGATTTCATTCAAAGTGAAATGGAGACATATATTCAGATATGTGGTGGTCCTCCAGGGGGCTCTGAGGCTGCAGTTGAGGGCAATCTTTGACATTTTGGGGAGACTTCAGATTCACTTTTTCCTGTGTCTTCTTTTAGTCTGTTGGATTTTCAGCCCCTTGGGTGACTGTGATAAGTTTACAGACTCGTAGTGCTGGGGTCCAGGGTTTGATTACCTAGTGTGTACTCAGCATATGACCCACAGTTGCTTTGCTCTAACAAAACAACTTACTATACCTCATGAAATGCTGTTCCATTCAATGGTCATCAGCACAGTTTTTAAATGACCTATGAAAAATGAAAAGGAGGCCACTGTGTGATAAGCTGCCTTTGATTTGTTTTTCTTGTGTTGGTTCTTAGATTGTGTGATGTTTTGGGCTTTTTCCTGGTTGCTTTTGAGCCTACAACTTACTTGATGACAGAAAAGTCTGGGAAGGAATTTTTAATTTTCACTCCATACACGGATATTGGGATTTATGCTGGAAGGTTTACTGCTTAATTACATGAAGGAACTTTGTGGTTTAGCCTAACACCACTAATTGGAGGCATTTTTCTGACTCTTAAATAACACATCTGCTCCTCAAATTTCAGAGTTCTAAGGCAGAGTTGTAGTTCACCAGTCTAGTTCTATGTCCTCTGGTGGGACAAAGTAAGTCTAAGGACTTACAACTCAAATTCAACATTTTTGTTTCCTTTCACTTCCCTTTGTTAAAAGACTGAGTTCCCAGCTTCATTGATGACGAGCTGGATCTATTTTTTGCATGCACTTTGGTTTCATTTTTGGCTTCTACATTCCTCCCAGTTGTTGTTGGTGTCTCAAATTTCATTGGCTCTTACAGGGGGTCATAGTTCCACCCCTATTCATGAGTCCTGACCCCCACAGCCTTTTTAGTACATAGTTACTAAGAATAGATTCTGTCCATGTCCAAGGTTTCCACTGCTTAGTCGGATCGCCAGCAGCATCAGTGATTATTGTATACAGGGACTGTGGGGCTCGGTTCAAAGTATTTTTGGACGTGTTATAACCTTAACCATGGGCTCAGGCGCTCTGCAGGTCCTTGGGTCACAATTATTCATTCATTTCACATCTTCCCCTCTATTATCCATCCAACCTGTAGGGTTTCTGTCTCTCACAGTTCATCAGGATTTGGAACTTAGTTCTAGGGTTATCTGAGTCTGGTTGGTCTGGGGGTAGTGAGAGAGTCTGTCTAGTTCTTCAGAGTTTTGTTCCTGTCAGTTGTTGGGCCTATACTGACAGGAGATTGGTGTCCAGACATTGATCTTCTTTGTCTATATTATTGCCTAGATTCTCTAAGGATCAGAAGTTACACATTCCTCAATTTGTGTTTTTTTTACTGGGATTGGTTGTCCAACTTCCCTTTTGGGACTGCGACATCTATTCTTGCCCCAATTCAATATGTAATCAGTCTGGATATTTTTTTTTTCTTCATCTGTCTGTCGGGCTCAGCTGTCTCCCATCCTGCTCAACATTATAGAACAGGATGCCACTCTTACTCACCTCTCCTACTCCCACTGCATGGATGGTTCTTTTTCTTCTGGAAATGTTGGCATCACTCAAATCCTTCATGCCTTTTTATTGGTCTTTATGTGATCAAGGATCATATACAAGCTGTTGAAACATATTCCCTTAGTAAATATGAATTTCAGCTAAAGGCAATATGGATAAATGAGGGTTGCTATGGTAACTTGCAGCCAGGAGATCTTGAGACTAAGTAGGGGTATTATTTATAGGGCCCTTACTATGTACTGATTAGTAAAAGTTAAGCCTCACTTTTGGCTCTCCTTGTGGTCAGAAGAATGGAGATGCTGCTGGAGTATGAAGGTAGAGGTCTCTTACTGCCATAAGTGACAGAATCATGAGGAGGAACTAGTTAACCATGATGTAGCCTAGAGTTTCTCAGTGAGGAGAGATTTATGTTGTAACCACTAGGGGTTGTTTGGGAGGTCATGGTTGGAGCTTGTAGGTTGACAGTATGTTTGTTTTGACAATATATCACTGTTAATTGAAAGGATGAACTACATGTTTCTAGAATGAGTTTTAATGTATGTGGTTGTCTCAACCATGTGCCAGCCGAGATGCTTTAAGAGATCACTTCATTTTTGCAGATTAGTAGCAAAGAAGTTGAACAGGTAATACCCATGAAGTTGAACCCTACTGGTGCACTCTTTAAATTCCTTTCTGCACATGTCACAAAGAGTTAAAGGTACGCTCAAAATTTAATTAAAGCACTTTACTATTAATGTAGTGTAATGAACTTGACATTATCAACTACATTATAATTCAAAGTTTTATATTATTCAAGTTATTAATCCTTTATTTCGAAAGAAACCTCTGAAACAAACAATTAAAACTTTAGTTTCTTGTCACCTGATGTAGGTGCAGTTGAAATATCTTAGATTTGGTTGCTAATGTTTTTGTTCAGGTTTGTCTCAGTACCTCTACAACAGTCTAGACAGGCTTCTGCAAGTACTAAGTCAAAGTCTAAACAGTAGTGTCATTTTGCAAAGGCATCATTCCAACAATTAACTTATTACTTGCTCTTTTCTGGTAAATGCCACATCCACATTACAAAATAATCTGTTGCTAAGCAACAGTCTTGTTTAGATTTGAATAGCATGCTGATAAGCAAGAGAAAGAACAGACTTCTTGCTTAATTTCTACAGCCTAGAAGGAAAGTAGGCCATAAATTATGTTTGAAATGACAAGCTAACTACCACTTGTCCATTGTAAAGATCATTGTCTCTAGTGCTTGACTGTTTTTTCTCGTCTTATACATGATTGTTCAATAGTTAAATTGCATTTAGGTTTTCCTTTGATACTTTAGTTACTTATGTATTATTTGTGTTTTAAAATTTATATTTGAAAGTTTTAATTATATTTTTAAGTTTACATGTCATCTCCTCATTCGTGAAGGTTTATAAAAATAAGGCATGTGCCAACCATTTTGCCTTCAGCTGACACGACTCTGCCAATCATAACATTTTAATGGCCTATGGGCATTAATTGGTGTTTTGACATAAATAATAAAAGACAATGAATTGGAAAGGAAAATACAACATTAAAAATATACTATAAGTGAAAAGGTAAAAACGTGAAATTACACATATGACCCAAGAAGATATTTTAAGATTATGCAACAAAGAGATAAAAGTTATGTATATATTTAAATTTCTTACTTATAAACAGTTTAATGCACTGTATGTTTATGATAATAGCTACAGTTAGTGATGTGGTAGAGAAAATGGAAAATGAAATATAAACATCCATTTTAAAAAACTTTTGATGTTCATTTAGGAGGTTCTAGAGATTATGCAAGTGAAATGTAAAAACTGTAGGATAATAGATAGTATTTTTATACTAAAAATGAAAATCACCTTGCTGGTGCACTATTCAGAATGTGAGTGTAAATAACTACATTAACCCTCTCAATATGGGGTCAATAAATTTGACTGAGTCATGTGACCTTTTGTGCTTGTTTAAATTCTTTATAAATTTAATACTTATAACTCTCAATATATATATGGTATATCTTCATGAAATTTGGCAGTCTTTCATATACAAAAAGTCATATTTCTTAGTGAAGTCTTTTTAATAAAATAAAGATTTGTCCATGAATATACTGAGTATTTGTTTTGAATAGTCCATGTACAAAATAATTTTCATGTTAAAAATTAAAAATACTTTTCATCATCTCAAAAATCACAAATTTCCTTTGTGTAATCCTTAAAACCTCCTAAATGTATTTCAAACGTTTTTTTTCAGTAAAACTTTATAGTTTATCTGTTATTTTCTCTACACAATCTCAAAACGGGATTGGTCAATTTGACCGACCTTGTAACCACCAAAAAAAAATCAAAATAAACCTAAATTAACCTCTTTTTTTTCTTTCTAGAATGACTTCAAATTGTAACATGAAAAGACATTCGTTTATCCTAAGTAGTTCTAAGTTCGTAACATTATACATATATTTAAATTTAATTACTATTTGCACAATTATGAGTTGTAAATCACTTGGTGAACATGCAACTCACACTATGCTGTAATTTGATTATATTACATACGAGCTGTTTGATTGCATGTCTTGTGAACCATTTTGATTATATTAATATTATTACTTATTTTACCTAACTTAAAAAGATCTGTATTTTTAGATTTTAGTTACTTTTATAATAATGAATAAAGAATAA